CAGTTCATTTATACAACTCTTTAATTGCAATTGATTGTTCTTCTTTTAGAAAAAATATACTGTCCAGTTCCTTCATAACTGATGCAATAGCAGCTTCGACAGAAAGCTCCACATTAGCTGCAGCCATCTTGGTTGTTTTAGAAAACACCTTAACTGTGCTCCTCTTTAGGTCTCCGTCTCACACACGTCCCATATCAGATAAACGGTTGTGACTGGCCTGGCACGTCTTAGGCTGCTGGAAATCTGTCCAAAGTAGGGGGAGAGCAGACGCATCTGCAAGAGCAAATGAAACATGAGCTCGCAGACTAGTCTGGTTCAAAGCCAAGGAAAGACAACGAGGGGAGATGCAAACGGATGGAAGTAATATGGAGAGGCAAATATCCCCCCTTATTTCCTGAACCCTGCCTTTAATTACTTATTATTTACTAATTTATATACTTTTGTTAAACAGTATCTGACCAGGTCATATGTAGTTGTTTTCTTTGAGACACAAAAAGTAACCACAGGCCCTGATTCAATCATTCAAGAATTTAAAGGTCAGACGGCAATTTATTTGTATTATTGGGCTGCACGGGTATCAAATCAGGACTCATTATTACAAAATCTCAAACAGTAATGAAACTTCAAGATTTCTTTACTCTCAACCTTTAGAGAGGAGTCTAGTATGTGTGTGTGCATGTGTGCTGGCAGTCTGGGGAGTAGACTGTAAAACTGGATATAAATAGAAACATTTTTATTATTGTATTGAGAGTTTATTCCAATATGGAAAAAAGAAAAGAAGAAAAGATTCATTACTTAAAATGGCGTTTACATGTATTATTCTAGTAATCTCACCCAAATTTGACTCTCAGATCTGCTTTTGAGAAAGATTTGCTAATGTGAATTATAATAAGAATGGAAACTTAATCATTCTTGACCAGAGATGTGAGATAATAATCCTCTTTAAAGCAGATTTTCACTTACTAAGTGGAGAGAAATGGAGGAGAAGCCCGGTGACATTTTCCTCCCACCCTGGTCCATGATATCAAAAGAAATGCAGAATCATCACTTTGTGTTTTTATCTTTGGGCACACCTTTGAAGTCAACATGCACTTATTTTCAGTCTGTTTTCCGTATTAAGTGCCGACTGTTTGAATCTGTCATCAAGAACAAGAAAGATTTATATAAAGCTTTGACAGGAAGTGTCGTGGTCATGATGAAGCTGTGGAAGACGTGTGCTCTTTATGGCTGGATAGGGAGGGTGCTCACTCTCGCCCTCACAGTATGGGGGCAGAACATTATTGAATGACGAGCACAGAGAAGACAGAATTACAACGTATGGTAAATACACAGACTGACTACTCGATTCAAACATCAGATTGAAATGTCGAATTTGCAGGACGGCTCTACTCATTTAATGTCATGAGACATTAGGAGCAGTACAAATGTTTCCAACACATTTTATTCATGGGGAAGAACAAAAGCTGCGGTACCAACCTATTTTTTACATCCTGTATTCATAAGTAACCTAATAATGAAGACGATATACATTTGTCTGACTAAAATCCAGCACATTCTGTATCATATAAAAGGTACAGAGCAGAGATATTCAAATCTGCGCCCAATCAAGACACTCTATCTCTATGACGGGAACCACCCGTAGAAGTCAGACAGCTGAGGATCAATGGACTTCCTGTTAACGAGGGCTGATGGAAGCTCTGGTCATGTGATCAATGTCGGCATTAATCTTGCTGCTAGAGAGTAAAATATTACTTTTGCCTGTCAATACATCAGCCTGGATGGACAGACTGTGGTATTAATCAGACGGACACACAGGAACACTTCACTCAATGATATGCACACATACAGTAACACGTAACATTGTATCAGAATAGCAGCTTTAACCTTTGATAACAGTGATTTTATGGTGTTTTTTTAAAGTCAACAAAATAAAGCACAAAGGTCCGTCATAATGTCACAGCAACAGCCTTGGAAATGCCACAGACTGTCAGTGACACAGAAAATCAGTGACATAAATCAACAGAACCTGGCTTTAGAGACACACAGTTTCTCTCTCTGTATTAGATAGGTAAAAACAATGTGTATTTGTGTGTATGTGTTTTGTGGATCAGTACACTATGGATTTGGTTGGTCAATTTCTCCCAATTTCACTGGTTTGTGAGCTCGGAGCAATTTAACTGGACCATGTGCGTTAATACACTCACTTACACACACACACACACACACACACACACACACACACAAAGCATAAAATGGACACCTCTGGCAAAGACAAGCAATGCGTCTCTTTTAATATAGAGGTCAGCAACTTGGTGGGTATAGACAGAGGGAGTGTTCTGAGTATATCTGTACAATCTCTGTTTCAGAACTGAGGATATTACAATAAATAAAGCTCGCTCGACTGGGTATTTAAAAAAGTTAACAAACATTTTGTCGGTCCACAAAATAAGCCTCCCATTAATTGCTCATGTAGCAGCTTCGGACTTTACACTTGGTGACATCACAAGTTTGAGACTTCTCTGGTTTCTGGCTTTAAAAGACAGTAGCTGATGTTCACAAATATTGATTATAATATAAAATATTGATTGAACTTTCCTGGGTCATGAAAAATCATATTGGAATTCTTAGTTTAGCTGGTGTTCCCCTTAAAACTTAAACTTGTTTTTTTTTTTTTTTTTTAAATCTTTTTGGCCACTTGGGGGCAACACAACAAGATGGGAATACAACAATGGCATACTGTCGCCTTCTAAATGTTGTTATGATGAACATGTTTGCTCACTTATACATCCAGCAGACACTGTACACTGGCTTTCATTTGAAGTCCTGCCTCTGTCCACCTGATTAATGTTAGTCCAATAGTTAGTTTTCTTTTAGATCCCTTTTGATCTCCAACAGCTGCTGAGGAAAATATCTGACTTTTTAGTTAGGTAGACACTTAGTTTCTCTGTCTGCTGTTTGGTGCTGGGATGATAGCATGCAGGGGCTTTTTAGAGCTTTTTCACTGAAAACAGCTGCCCTCTACAGGCACCAAACCAAAACCTTGAGCTGAATGGTACTGTAAGCTCCTCAGAGCTGGGGTTATCTGCAGAGTTGGGTGATCATTTTCTGTGGGTTCATCACCATGAGTGACCTCTATAACATCATACAAAGTCACTTGATTCCCTGTTAATATGAAAACTATTTTAAGATTAGCTAGGCCAAGTAAACGTGAACATGAAGCCACAGCTGTAAGTCCTTGGCTCCAGTTAGCAGAAGGCTAAGGCTAGCAGCCATCCCCAAAACACTTGGCTGTGTCTACATTTGTAGAACAACCAATAGGAATGCCGTCTCTCAAAAATGACCTGTGATTGGCCAAAGTCTCCCGTCACAGCCTAGATTTTCTTAAACCTGAAAACAGAGCAGTAACACCAACATTAAAGTGCCTAACCTTGCTTTAAGAAAATTTGATCAAATCAGCTGAGACAATAACCTGAGTTCATTGACAATATGTAACAATCTGCACCACAAAATTTCCTTTTCAGATATGTCATGGAATCAAACTTGTCAACCTGAGCACTACCATGAAATTCATGACTGTTTCCTGTCCTGATAGTTGTGGTTTTTGCTTGCAGGAGTTGTTAAGATTCTGTGTTTCTCACACACACTGACACCCACACAGGCTGAAGAAAGCAGCAGCTACGAATGGAAAGATACATCATTCACTTGCTAGAAAATTACACAGCCATACCTCACAGTATATAGAAGTACAGCAGTGTGTGTGTGTGTGTGTGCGTGTGTGTCCGGGTGAGAAACTGAGCCGCCCACCATGCTGTACTTCACAAATCATACTGCCAGGGCATGGGGCACAGCTCTCTGTGTCTGTCCTTGATTTCCATTTTCTTCAGTGTGGCGCAGCTCCCATCTCTCTATCTATATTTGATCGTACTGTATCTCCATCTCTTCTCTCTCATTCTGTGTCACTTTCAGTTTGTTTCTCCCCACCTCAGCTTTCTCTTTTCTACCACCTTGTCCCCGTTCTGTTATCTCACTCATGTTTAGTCACCCCACTTGGCTCTCTATATGTCATTCTCTCTCACACCCACACAACCCCCATTGTCTTTTTTTTCTAATCCCAACGACATCCTTAATCTCATCCTCATTGCATCTCCTCCTCCTCTTCTCCCATCCTTTCTTCCTCCCTTTGTCTCTCTCTCCCTACAACCCCTCCTTCCCCCTTGTCTCTTCCCCTCATGCATGTGTGTGTGTCTCAATCTGTGTCCTGCACAGTCAATAGTCAATTAATCACTCAGATCTTCCTACTGAATCAACTCAAGGTGGTCTGGGGAGCAGAGGACAGAGAGGGAGAGAGAGCAGCAGAGATGATGCTGATATATTATCAGTCGCACTGACAGTGCTTCTACACAGACAGATGTTGTAACACCAAAAGGCGGATATGTCCCTTGCGTGACTGTAACTGATAAAACATGTGATTCATTCATGAAAACAAAGGGATAGTTGCGACAGTTACAGGAGTATTCAAATGAATTCCTTTAGATTCATCAAACAAAGGTGCTGGAGGTGTGTATAATTTTGGTAGCAATACCAGGTAGTGTTTGGACTGGCGTTGAAGATTTTCACACAATACCCAGCCTCGTTCCTGCAGACTGTCCACCTTATCATGATGTGCACATAGCAACATCACTGTGTGCACAGGTGAAACATGACAAGATTGCTGTGTTCTTAAAATAAGACGCAGAAGATGACTTCCATTACATTTTTATCAACACATACAAAGGTCTGGACTTATTGGAGGTGATTTTAAAGGCTGGCGGCAACTGAGTTAAAATAATCCGACCTTTGAGTGCAGCAACCTTGGTGTGTGTAGGAAGATTGAGTGGATGACCACATGGTGCTGCATCTATATGAGCACCCTGACCTATAGAGAAACACCTCACTCTCGCTAAAGAAAAAACCCAAGCTTTGCCAGGTGCAACACAATTGTCTGGGTGATCGACACCTACCTGTCATGCCTGGAGGGGTTTTCAAGAATTTCCCGTTGAAATTTTGAATCACCACGTCGCACTTCTCTGTCGACTCCATCCTGACAGAGGGGAGAGAAAGACAGAGGTGCTACTTTAGGACAATCAGCTCCTTATGTTCAATATTCAAGAAATGTACTGTGGTTCTTAAAGAAGTGTGAATGTACTTTATATGGATGTGTGTGCGTGTAAATGTGTCCTGTGATACAGTAAGTACATAATTGCCTGCCTATTTTGCTTGCTTGTCTATGTATGCTTGAGTAAAACACCTGAGGTAGGCCTGTGCATGTGTGTGCGCTTGTGTGTCTGCGTGTTTTCTATGGGGTTTCCTCTCCTTTGTCCGGGTTTAAAAGCTCCATTCAGTCTGATCTGTTGTGTGTCATGTCCTCTTTGTCTGCCCCCATTCAGCTCTGCTCACCCAATCACAGCTCAATGACTAATTGCCTGCTTGGCAAGCAAAAGCCAGTGTGTGAATGTGTGTGTGTGTATGTGTGTGTGTGGGAGAGAAAAATGGTGACAGGAGAGGGGGAGAGAGAGACTGTGTGCGTGTGGTATGTGAGCATGCATGTCTGTGTGTGTGTGTGTGTGTGTCTCAGGGTTACTACACATAGCCAGTGACCCTGAATGAAGCCCCAACTGCATTCTAATCACTGGCACACTTCACGGTGTAACTGAGAAGACCACACACACACACACACACACACACACACACACACACACACACACGCGCACGCACACAGCAGGGTGAAGGGGCCAAGGGTACAGGAATGTGCAGTTGTATCATTAGAGCTAGAAGTCCTTTGGTTGTAAATGGCAGGGAGTCAACTCGGGGTAATGTTGCCTCTTGTGATAGTGTGGTAAGTATGAATTATGTTGTGCCTGATAAGTAATTATAGTTTGTCCAGCAAAAGCCTGCATTTTAATAGATTTGGATGTGATTGACAATTGGCATGGTACAATTAGTTTTTTCAGCAGCAACTGAAAATCATAACTGACAGGGGAAAATTTAACAACACTTTCACACACACTGAACTAATAACTGTTTTGCACACTGAGGACACATTTTTGGAGAGCCACAAGCAGGGCTGAATGATATGGGAAAATAATATATTTTTTAGACCAATATTGTGATTACAAATTAGTATGCAACTGTTTTTAAGATTCTTATTTTCTTCCTTATTTTTATCATTATTGCTGTTGGTAACTGTATTGTAACAAATCTCACACAATAAAGTGCACACAGAGTATAGCTCTATCACTCTGAAATAGTAAAATAACTCCAAGCCTTGTTGCAAATAAGTTGTTAAGCATTACTGCTTCAGCTTCCAGGCCATGGTTGGGGAGTCAATGTTCATTTTGGTGCTAACCAGTGTTGGCAGTAATGCGTTACTAGTAGCTAATAAGCAGTTATTAAACATATTACAATAATAATAATACCTATGGCCAATTACCCAGTAATGACTAGTGTAACAAGTTACTAACAAAATTTCAGTAATGATATTGTGACTATCCCCAAAACAAATAACTCATTACAACCTCACTTTTGTTCTCACCCCCTACTGATCTGAAATCAAACAATCAATCACATTTCCTTTTCGATTCCTAATCCACAAAGCAGCAAGCTAGATTGGAAGATGGAAACGTTTATATTTAGTGGCTGGAAATATTCCCATTACTTTGATTTTGCCGGGAGGAAAAACGTCAAAAACATTGTTGTTCTAGGTAGTGGTACTAAGACTCTTTCCACTGTTACAACAGAGCAACACAGCTGGCACTCGACGTCTATATGACATCAGTAAGACTCTTTTGTCAGACAGATGTTAAATTTTGATTGAGATGAAAAACGGGTTGGCAATATTGTAAATGTCTAATGATGTTAGAATTTCATGTTGTGTGAACATTAACATGATAATGTTTTGCAGAAGTTACTTAATAACACAACTTAAAACCAAAAAAAAAAATCATCATCATCTGTCATCAGTATTCTGTGTCAAATGGATGTTAGCATTAGACGTTGTCCTGACAATCAATTTTGGTCACCTGACATCACGCAAATTCAACCAATTATCAATGTCTAAAGACCTAAGTGGCTAGCTGGGAAACTTCCTGAAACACTTACTATGACAGCATAACAACATGAAGCTCTTAAAGAATTTAAAAAGGGGCAGCATGGCGGTGCAGTGGTTAGCACTGTCACCTCACAAAAGAAAGTTCCAGGTTCTCTCCATGCCCTAACCCTATCAGAAACATGGTTTTCTCTGGGTCCTCCAGCTTCCTCCCACAGTCCAAAGACATGCAGGTTAATTAGTGACTTTAAATTGCTCGTAGGTGTGAATGTGAGCATGAATGTTTTCTGTCTGTATGTGTCAGCCGTGTGGTTGTCTGGCAACCTGTCCAGGATGTACCCTGCCTCTCGCCCAATGACAGCTGTGATAGTCTCTTGCTCGACTACACACTTGTTACCCACACATTATACTACTCCTACAATGTAATAAGGAAACATGTTAATTGTACTTAAACTCGGCCTTGGCCATTTTCACAAAGTAGTAGTGTGAGCATCAAGTCTTGCATGTAGCATTTTACAAGGTGTTTTCTTTATCTACTCTTTTCTTGCATATGTCACATGGAGCGTAAGGCAGTATGTGTGCGCTTGAAGCCCGCAGGGTCAAGTGTTTCCAACCCTCTGGTTGATTAGCTTGTGTAGCATTAAAAAACATTGCTGCTTTTGGGATTTGAAAGACGCGTCCTATTACATCGCAATATTGATTTAATTTCAATTAACTGGTCAGCCCTCCCCACATATAATGGTAAGTGACAGTTTGTGTGCATGTATGTCTTTCTCTGTGCACACCTAGCAAAGCCGACTCCTCTGCTCAGGCCATTGGCGTCCCTCAGTATCCGCGTAGAAATGACGTGACCGAAGGGCTTCAGCATGTTCTCCAGCTCCTGCTCATCCATGGACAGCGGGAGGTTCGAGATGTAGAGGTTGGTGGGGTCCTGCTCCTGTTGCTGTTGGAAGAGACAGTGACAGAAGATGTGGAAATAGTTACCATCACTTCATTTGACCTTGCACAGGCATACGTTTCAGTGTCAGAAAGAAGAGAGAAATTGCATATTTCAGTCTAATCTTAGAGGCTTGAACACCGATTGAAAAAGCCTTGGTGTAACCCTGAAAGTAATCACTGGTATTGGGTCTCATAATATAACCCTTTATGGTATTTTTCTTAATAATCAAGCTTAACAAAACTACGCTCTGCGAGATCAGTAGTTCATACATGTAGATATGAACTGTGATAACCAGCACAGATGTTGGATTTCTCCTCAGTTCAACATAATAAATCCAGACAAGAGATTGCCCTTATGCTAAGCAAAACAGTTATTTTCCTTTTAAGTGTGTAAAATGCTCAAACTGGAGTAAGAGACATAAAAGAGTGGACTATAACCTTCCACTAAAAGCTAGTTTTGCAGCAGTAAATGTATTAAAGGTTAAGGTAGTAGCATTCAGGTTCTTTATTTCCATATTTATGACTGAATATCCAACTGCAAAAGAAAAAAAAATCTGTGAATTTAACTCAAGTGGCAAACTCTCCTCTAAAGAGGAATAAACATTTCACTGAAAAGGCAGCACACCGGCTTCACACTCAGAACCCCTGAAGCAATAAGGAAACCCCCTCAGGATTCATAGATGTTAACTGAGTTGCATTAATTTTTTTTCAAGGGAATGAGGGAACTTCCTTCTAATGTGCCTCTCAGTTAGTTAGACTGGTATACTTCAATTATTTTTGTTCTGTTTAGCAGCACTCCATTGAAATGATCCTCCGCAGGAGACCAAAAGCCTGTGTGTGCATGAGTGTGTGGAGCTGGAGTGCTGGCAAATTAAAGAGGGATGGATGCAGGAGAGGGTTTGATGGAGGGTGCTCCATTTTGCTACTGAGACAGCCAGAAAGGAAGAGTGACAGAGAGAGAAAAGGGGGCGTGATATACTTATGTTCTATAAATCCTAAATATGTGATTTCCAGACATTATTTCATAATTTCACAAAACTGTGAAAGCTTCTGTTTCATTGTCCATGAGATGCAATGATTCATAATGATGCCTATGTATTCATTCACATCATTGCAAATCTTGATGGTAGTCTACATGCATGTCCAATACAAGACGAGTCCAGCTCTATTATAATAAGTGCCCACGAAGTGCCTGTAAAGTATCTGATACATTATATCAGATAGCTCTTCATATTGAACAGTAGTGTCTCACATATTTTATATTCCTCTCATCTCATGTGCAAACTCAAGCAGCAGAAACACAAGTAGCCTCTCCTCTTGTCTCCTTTCTGTCATTCTCCTATCTATGTGAATGAGGTGCTTCAATTTTGCTTCTTGTGTTTGTGTCTTCTTTCCAGGTTACACAATGGAGACAAGGTCATGTGGCTCAGGCTCCAGCTGTTTGGCAACACCTGGAAGCTGCTTCACATCATCTTAGATCCATATATGTTCACAGTCTATGTATCATTTTATGATATGGATTGTTTAAATTGTAATTTTATGTTGGTACGATCTCTACACACAACATCTACTGCACATCTGTGCATACTGTGAGAGGAATCTCTCCCCTGTTTCTCTTCCTGAAGTTTCCTGAGGGGGGCAGTTTTTCTTGCCTGGTGATGGTGACAGACGGTGTCATATACCGTACAGATTGTAAAGCCCCCTGAGGCGAATGTGTGATTCGTAATATTGGGCTATATAAATAAAACTGACTTGACTAGACCCTAACAAGTTACACAGTGACACTGGATCCTGTGCTGTGCTGGAAATGGACACTGTTTGTGCATTTGATTCCACTGTTGTCATGGAAAATGAAACAAATACTAAAGTATGTATAGTGTTTGCTACGCTGTATGCTTCAAATTACATGGTAAGACTCCACAATGTTTAGCTTTTTTTAGTGCTATGTCAAACAACAATATATGTGTGCTGTTGGGTGAATACTCTGTGACAAAGAAGTTGCCCTATGTGGCTCATTTTGAGCATAAATATTTCTTTTATCCATGGAGGCTTTTCCTTTGCATGCGCCAGAGCTGTTTGATTTCGTGAGTGGGAGTTCCAAGTCTGGCCGACTGTGACCAAAGCCATCTATGTAATCAGTGACTCAGAATAAGGAGAACAGCTCCAGTGAAAAAGTCTGAAGTGTTTTACCTTTCTTTCTGTGTCTGAATATCTCTGTTTGTCAGCAGGGATTTTCCTTTGGCAGAGTGTCCAATACACAGAGTGGCACAGTTGTCTTCCCACACAGGACAGCAGGCTTTGAATGTAATCTTTTACATTTGCGTGCATGCTTGTGTGTGCGCGCACATTTATGCAAGCAGGGACATCAAAGGCGTAGAGTTATATGTAACAGCTGTGGAACCTGTCATTGATCTTAGACTCATCTTCCTTTAAGAGTTACATCACTGAGATCATCAAGACCTTCCACACAGACCTGGGTAAAATAGAGTTCCACTGCTTCTCAACACAGACCACATAAATATGTTGCTTTTATCAAAGGGCAGGTTCACAATTTTTTAGGCCTGTCTTAAAACAACAGCCTGCCATTTTTGCACAGAACTACGAATGTGACTTTGTCTCCCATCACTTATATTGGAAGCCTTTTCGGAAGGGATCTCTTCATGTCCAGTATGAACAGGGGGAATGACTAGAGCACTTTTATTTATAAAGCCCAGTATCACAAATCACTATTTGCCTCAGAGGGCTATATAACATATGACATCCCTCTGTCCCTGGATCCTCAAAGCAGATATGGAAAAACTTCCCCCAAAAACCCTTTAGCCAGGAAAAAAATAGAAGAAACCTCAGGAAGAGAAACTGAGGAGGGATCCCTTTCCCAGGACAGACAGACGTGCAACAGATGTTTTATGGACAGAACAGCTCAACATAATAATTTATAGAAATCCATATGTCAAACCTACCCATCTACCTAGTAGTACACCCGCCTCCTCAACTACCTCTACACCACCGGACCCTCCCCAGCTGTCATCCATTGATACAGGTTCAAGCTCTTACTGTTCTGTGTTTTAACACTTGGTCGATTCAAGGGGAGCATTCACTGTATGAAGTGTTGTGGCGTGCCACAAAAGAAACAAAAAGAATGTGTGAGTGATACTGTATGTACTTGCACACTTTCCTATAAAATGAGACAACAGAGCAGAGGCAAAGAGGCAGACAAAAAGCAGACCGGCAAGATGTGGGTTGGAATTGAGCACCGAGACATTGTTAACTTAAACAACCCTTGCATAACTATATTTTTGGCAGCATGTCACGTGTTGCATTGAAATTCATTATTTCAGAGATGGTCCGAGGCGAGAAAAAAAAGTTTGTCAAACTTGGCTTGCAGCCAGCCTCCATATTGTTCGCTGTTGTCCTGAGGTCTCTATTTGTCTTTCAGAACCCTGAAATAAACACATGCTGGTTATAAAGTTTTTGGAAATGCATGAGTTGAAAGTGACTATTAAGAATTTCACAAAGTGATAATTCAGGGAGATGGTTTTCAAAGCAAATATATATAATATATTAGAGACAATGTCAAGAACGACCCTCTCGCCTGCTTCCTACTTTTTCACCCATAGCTGTGCAGTTCAAAGGATGAAATCAGTATATGCTTAGTGAATATGCAGATTTTGGAGAGGACCGGTGGCACTTAGAAATGCCTTTGAAACTCTTCTGGGGACTGCTACACATGTTAAATAGCAGTCCACCTCTGTCTTTTGAGACAGCTGGTTTTCACACCTGATGCGAACCATACCAAGAACCCATTACACATGCTCAAGACCACCTTTTCAAGTGGATCGACGAACCGTGCCAGGGTCTAGCACACAGTATTCACGCTAATCAAACAAACTGGACTCCATGCACCTAGTATTGGTTGAAAACAGACTTAAAAAATCATGAACTTATCCTTTAATTATTTCTCACAAGGCCTAAGCACATTCCAATGAGGCAATTATTAAAGCCTTCAAACACTTGGATACATAATGTAATCAAACATGTCTACATGATCTACTAATAAAAATTGCAAACTATTTCAGTCAGGGTTACAGTTAGTTTTATTTTGCTAACTTTACTTCAAACAATTTAATTGTAGTATGTGACCTTCTCAATTTGTATCTGACTACACTGTGAGCTCTCTGTTTATGAAATCAAGATATATTCTGGTTTGCGAAGGCCTGAACAACTGCCTCATGGGACCTTGCTCAAACCCAGCAACGAACTGCAGCGCAGGGGTTAGATTCAATGAGACTGTGTTATGCACATTAGAAAATAATGTGAAACAATGGCTTAATAAGGCCTGGGTTGAAAACAAGTAAATTTACATACTCAGTTGCTGTGAGAGGGCTGTACGATACAAAGGAGAACTTTTAAGGCTCTAAAAAATATGAATACCCAGGAGAAGATTCAGCAGTGAAACACTGTCTTGAGCTAATAAGGCTAAAGCTCATAAAGTTACCATTGCACATCCAAGGTACAGGAATTCAGTGGAGAAATCACTGGAGAAACTCAAACACACCTATCGCTGCATGTCACACTATTTAAAGTTACAAGTCTCTGAGTTTCTGTCATTCAAACAAATTAGCTCCAGAGCACACCTGAGGCTTTGCTCAGCTGTGCGCTTCAAACTCACACTGTGGCTGTGGACTCTGTCATTATCAACAACAACTTGCGCATCAAGACACAAAGGGTTTCAATTTCCAGTCGACAGTTACTCTGTGTGTAGCACAATTTCCTCTGGCCGTCCGTGGAGGCAACACTGACAGAATCCTGTTCTCCCTGTTTGCAAGCCATAAAAAAGATTAAATGGTAAAACAGAAGATTTCCTATCCCTGCGGTCAATGTGGTTGCAAGCTAATTTCATGCAAAGACAATGTGTCTTAAACACAATCTCACAGCGGTTTTCCCCGATTCCAGCAAAAAGTGGGTCAGCTGTTTTGTTTCTGCACACATTTTCCGTACAGTGTG